AGCAGGAATTTAGGCTTAGTGTTAACAACGGGAGCAAATGGTATCAAAGGCATGACAGATGGCCGTGAGATGAGCCAGTGCTCTGTTCAGCCTGGTCTCTGCAAATCTGAGAAGATTGTGAGAGGAGCAATGGACTTTTTTCAGTGGCTGCATCCATTCCCTTTCCTGCCTGCTTAATCCAGACAACATATGCTCAGTCCCTTCCCACTGCCATGCATCGCACCCTTCTTTCTTGCCACACATGCTGCAGGCACTATGCACTGCCCTGAAACCTCTTGCAAGTCTTTCTGCATTCAGCCGAGGCCCTCTGGGCCCCTCACCATGTGCACACACTCTAGACATCATCCAACCAGTCTAGCCACATGTATATAAGACAATGGCAAACACTGCACACAATGAATTTAAGTCTTCCCCTGCCCTTTTACACATGCATGGTTCAGATGCAAGGACTAACTTCTGCCACCCCATGCAGGCTATGTTTTCTCCCCCATATGCATGCTCCAATGGCTACATGTCTCTCTCCCCTCTTCCCTCATTCCATTCACATACCCATCACCATTCAGATGCCATCCAGAGGGACCTGGACAAGCTCGAGGAATGGGCCTAGGTGAACCTCAGGAGGCTCAACTAGGCCAAGTGCAGGGTCCTGCCCCTGGGTCGGGGCAACCCCCAGTATCAATACAGTCTGGGGTATGAAGGGATGGAGAGCAGCCCCATGGAGAAGGACTTGGGGGTACTGGTGGGTGAAAAGCTGGACATGAGCTGACAGTATGCACTCGCAGCCCCGAAGGCCAACCGTGTCCTGGGCTGCATCCAAAGTAGCGTGGCCAGCAGGTCAAGGGAGGGGATTCTGCCCCTGTACTCTGCTCTGGTGAGACCCCACCTGCAGTGCCGCATCCACCTCTGGATCCCTCAGCACAGGAAAGACATGGACCTATTGGAGCAGGGCCAGAGGAGGCCACAAAAAGGTTGAGAGAGTTGAGGTTGTTCAGGCTGGAGAAGAGAAGGCTCCAGGGAGACCTTAGTGCGGCCTTCCAGTACTTAAAGGGAGCTTATACAAAAGATGGGGACAGATTTTTTAGCAGGGCTTGTAGCGATAGGGCAAGGGGTAATGGTTTTAAACTAAAAGGGGGTAGATTTAGACTAGATCTAAGGAAGAAATTTTTCAACATGAGTTTGGTGAAACACTGGCCCAGGTTGCCCAGAGAGGTGGTAGATGCCCCATCCCTGGGAACATTCCAAGTCAGGTTGGATGGAGCTCTGAGCAACCTGATCAAGTTGAAGATGTCCCTGTTCATGGCAGGGAGGGTGGACTAGATGACTTTTGAAGGTCCCTTCCAACCCAAACTGTTTTATGATTCTGTGATTGATTCATTCCACAAAGAGGCTCCATGCATTCCCCAAGACCCAGCTATGCTCCAAAAGCCTGTCTCCCTGCACCCCACAACATGCTCTGCCTGCATCATCTCCCACACACATTCCAGACTCCTGCCCCTTGCACAGACTGAAAATACTATGGGTGCATCCACTACCTCCCCTTGCAAAAGCCTCCAACTGTGCATGCATCTTTTGTCCCATGTACCCATGCCAGGGCTGTGCATGAATCCACTGCCCACCATATGCTCCAAACACTTGTGCCCACATTCACTGCCTGCTCATATGTTCCAAGTGCTAGACACAAACCCGCTGCCCTCCAAACACGCACTTCAAATGTGCATCCATCTGTTGCCCTGCCCCACCATACTCTCAATGTACACACATCCACTGCCCCACACATGCACTCCAGATGCTCTGCACATATACATTGCCCCAGACACTCCCGATGCTGTGCACAGTTCCAGTACCACATGTACACACTCCAACCCTGTGCACACATGCAGTACCTCCCTACATGTTCCAGATGCTCTGCATGCATGTACTGCTCCCTCATACATGTGGCCACATGTCTGTGAACCTTGTGCTGTACTCTTGTGCTTGCCCACAGTCTGGTGGTAACAGCAATGGACAGAGGGACGCCGCCTCTTGTGGGATCTGCCACGCTGACCGTTGTGGTGATGGACATCAATGACAATAGCCCCACCATCCCGTTTCCCTGGGAGGTGCGGGTCCCAGAGAGTAAGTGCAGCTCAGCCCCATGAGGTAATGCGTCACTGATGGCAAGAGCTGAGACGCAGTGGACACCTGTGGGTCGGGGAGAAGCCTCCAGAGAGGCCTGTCCATTCCCTTGCCAAGGGCCGTCTTGTGCTGACCCACTGGCTGAGCTCCCCCTGAGCTCTTCAGCACTGCCCCATCTGTGACGGCTTGGGGCTGGGGGTTGTATGGCCCCTGTGCTACAGCTGCGTCCTGAGGGAACCCACTGAATTCCCAACTCATCCATGGCCCCTGCCTGCACCACAAGGGCTTGGGCTGCACACACCTGCCCTGTCTGCTCTCTGTCCTTGGCCTGTGTGCCCTGTGCTTGTGCCAGCCTTGACCCGCCTTGCCTAGCTCCCAAGACCTTCCCCTTCACCCCTATCATCTCCCCCTTGTCTCCAGAGCTCAGGCTCTGTACTGAGCTGGTTTCCCACCACGTGAGCCAGGTCTTCTCCAAGGAGATGTGGCTGCTAGCTCATGCCTCGCCTCTCCACAGACACACTGCTGGGCACCCAGATAGCGCAGCTGACTGGGAACGATGTGGACTCAGGCCCCGCGCTCTCCTACACACTCATGCTGGATGGTGATGCCATGAGCACGTTCAGTGTGTTGCGGTATGGGGGACGCATTGCCCTGACAGGGCCACTGGACTATGAACAGCGCAGCCACTACACCCTCACCCTGCGTGCCTCTGACACCCGCCATGAGACTGAGGCCAACCTCACCATTGTTGTGGAGGATGTGAATGACAACGCACCAACTTTCAGCCAGGGCTTCTATCAGGTACTGTGCACACAGGTGAGCCAGGCAGTGTGGGCCTGCCTGCACGAGCCCCTCCGCTGCTCCTGCCTGGCTCACCTGGCCTTATGAGGCACAGAGATCCCCTTGAGGATGGGTCTGAGCCCGTCCTGGCCCCTCTGTTCCTGGGCTCCCATCCACATCCTGACAGCCTTTATGCTGTCACTATGGTGTGGACAGCTGGCTGAAAGCAGGCACTGGGATCAGCAGCTGTGGGCCTGCACAGCTGCATGCAGATAATACATGCTCGAATAGGTGGGAACGGTGGGAAAGCCAGTTGTGGTGGGAGATAGATGACAGTCTGGCCAAGTGTTACTGGCAAGACCTGGCCTGGGGCCCCATAGGCAGATCACTGGATGAAAGCTGATTCATGCAACGTGGTGCATCTCTGGACCAGAGATGCAAGAAGCTGGGAAGCCACAGAAATGCTCGAGAGCACAGACCAATGGAACTGTCTGTTTGTACATGCTGTTTGGCACACCAAAAAGACAAAAGCTGTTTTGATTTGAGCAAAATACCTTTTGTGGAGAAAATAACAGCTATTAAAGAGTTCTTCAGAATAGCAGAGCAAAGCAGAGAAAAGGATCAGGAAATGGATGCTGAAGCTGGTCAGGAGTCACACTAACAAGGCTAGGTGCTGTGACTGTGGGACAGGCCCCCTCAGTATGCCAGCCATGGCCCTGGTGCAGAGGTGGGGAAGGCCCTGGCCAGCAATGAGCTGGGCCACCTTGTCCATCGCTGCCCTGGCCAGCCCTCTCCCAGCCCTGCTGGTTGGTTCCAGGCAAGGGGGAACAGGTGCCCGCATGGGGGACCCAGCACTGATGGGATTCCTCCTCTTCCAGGTGACATTGCCGGAGCACACACCTGCAGGCAGCATCATTCTCACTGTGAGTGCAACTGACCCAGACTCGGGAAGCAACGGGGATGTCTCCTTCCACCTGGCCGTGCCCAGCCCTGACATCGCCATCGACCCCACCAATGGTGCGTGGGGCTGGCTGCTGTGTGGGGCCCATCTTGTGGGTTGCTTTGACAGTGCCTGCAGAGGGAGGTGCCCCCATGCTGACCCAGGCTCAGCCCCTCACCAGGTCACTGTCTGGGGTGGCCAGTGAGGTGGACATGGTGGGGTGGCCACCAAGTGCTCCCAATGCAGCGTCCTGCACATCTGTTCTTACAGCAAATAACCCTAACACCCTTCCTGGTTCCCTGTTGGCCCCCATGCTGACTCTGGCTTTGTGCTCTCACAGGGACTCTCTTCACCATCCGGCGGGTGGAATTTGACGCCAGCCAGCCCACCCTGGACCTGGTGGTGGAGGCCCGTGATCGTGGCTCTCCCAGCCTCTCATCTTGGACCACAGTGCAGCTCCAGGTGCTGGATGTGAATGACCACAGCCCCAGCTTCCAGGTGCCACGCTACAATGCCAGTGTTCCTGAGGACCTGCACCCAGGAACCACCGTGCTGACACTAGAGGCAGGTGACGCTGACCTCTCCCGGGAGAATGCTGGCTTCGACTACACCATTGTCAGTGGCAATGGCGGCAATGCCTTCCAGGTGGAGAGTCGGGTGGCCTGGGCAGGGGGGCATCTCCGCACACAGGGTGCCTTGGTGCTTGTGGAGCCCTTGGACTTTGAGGCCATCCCAATCTACAACCTCACTGTGGCAGCCTCAGACCGGGGCCTGCCACAGCGCAGCACTACAGTGCCTGTGCTCATCATTGTGCAGGATGTCAACGACAACCCACCTGTGTTCACCCGCGCCGAGTACCACACAGCAGTGAGCGAGAGTGCACCCCCCGGCACAGAGCTGCTGCGTGTGGTGGCCCATGATGCTGACTCGGGACCCCGCGGCCATGTTCAATACACCATCAGCTCAGGCGACCAGCATGGGCTTTTCCAGCTTCATGAGAGCACAGGGGCCCTGTGCTTGGCACGGCCCCTGGACCGAGAGGCCCAGGCACTGCACGCGCTCGTGGTGCAGGCCATGGACATGCCGGGTGGGCACTTTGCACTGGTACCTGTAGCCATCGAGGTGAAGGATGTCAACGATAACAAGCCATACTTCCCAGTGGAGGTGCTGAGTGCCAGCATGCGGGAAAACCTGCCTCCTGGCACACTGGTCACCACACTGCGTGCCGTCGATGCAGACACTGGTGTCTTTGGGGAACTGCAGTACACAGTGCTGGAGCAGCCAGCGGGGGAGCCCAGCATGGTGGAGGGCCGGGATGCCTTCACCGTCAACAGCAGCTCTGGGGAGCTGCGCTCCCGACTTACCTTTGACTATGAACGAGCCAAAGCCTTCCAACTCCTAGTCAGGGCTACTGATGCTGGCAACGCCTCTGCCACGGTGACCGTGCGGGTGCTGGTGACAGGCGAGGATGAATATGATCCCATCTTCCTGAGCCCCTCCTTCAACTTTGAGGTCCCTGAGGGTGCCCGCAAAGGGCAGAGCATTGGGCGGGTGCTGGCAACAGATGAGGATGAGGGGCCTGATGGTGTTGTACTGTATTCCCTGGCAAAGCCCTCACCATACTTTGCCATCAACCAAACCACAGGCACTATCTACCTGCGTGTCGACAGCCAACCCCAGGCTGGGGCTGGGCGCACCAAGAGGGAGCCCCGTGAGATGAGCCTGGAGGTACAGGCACGAAGCCCCCTGCCAGCCTCCCGCTCGGCCTCTGCGCAGGTCACCATTGATGTCACACACACCTCCTTCGGCCTGGCTCCAGACCTCAATCTGCTGCTGGTGGCTGTGGCTGCCTCGCTGGGGGTTGTGGTGGTACTGGCTGCCGTGGCCATTGTGCTGGCACTGGTC